TGCAAGTGCACACCGCTCGGGGTGCAACGGAGGGAGAAGAAGAACGAGAGAGAGAGAGAGAAACAAAACAAAAAGAGGGATGGAGAACGAGGGAGAGAGAGAGAGGGAGAGAGAGAGAGAGAGAGACATAAGACACTATAATTGCCCAACACAGCTCCTCCTGCGACTTATGGCCGCGCCACTGCCGCTGGAGGGGAAGGGACGGGGTGCCCATAACTACTTACCGCAACAACCTCCTTCCCTCCGATTGAGCCGCTTTCGCTGGGCACCCCATGTAAACATTAAGGCTCAGGTCAGAATCGTCATTCCGACGGCCAGCCCAGCTTGCGCGCGCGGCCTCCTGCTATGGCGCTGCGAGGCGGAGCGGGGAAGGAAGGGTCCTCCTTCCCCGCCAATACACGCAACACCACGCAACACAACCACTCATCATAATCGGAAGTCCTCCATGCCTCCTCCCCGTTCACTCTGTCCTTCGTGCATCGCACTTGCAGAGCGTCGAGACTGGAGGGCTGGGGAAGACTGACATGGAGGATGACCTCAACGGCCGCCGCCATTACGACAGGGTTTTGGCCAACGCGCCACAGCACCCTGGGTTGTGGAAGTTTGATGTTCCCCCTCAATCTCCCAGCCCCCACCCGCTCTCAAAGATGGCGCTATGCGCTTCTGCAGACTGTGCAGTGCGCCTGCTGCGCGCCGTAGACGCACAGAGCGAGATCGGGGATGTGGGGAGACAGGGCGGAATGGCGGGAGGGGAGATGGACAGAATGGGAACAGTATGGCCAGAGAAAGCTCACTGGCGCCGCAACTCGCTGCTACTCCTCGCTCTTCACATCATGCTACGACCTCTGACCACTTGAGGAAGGGATGCGTCGCATTGTTTTTCGCTCCTCGTACCTCTCCTGTTCCAGCTGGGCCTGGAACGTGCTATCGCACTCGCTGGACTCCTCATCTTCGTTGCTGGCGACCTCGGATATCCACTGGTCGCTTTCGCTACGCTGGACCTTGAGGCCGTTGGCGTCTACGATGGCGGACACGAGCTCGCTCTGATTATGCGTGAGCACCTGCTGCTCCACCACATGCGAAGCCAGCCTAACCGTCTCCGCGCGCATGACCTCGAGCTTCTCCGTGGGCTTCTCCAGCGCTGCCTCTACGCCCTGCGTGGAAATCATACCGTTTTCTATATGTTGCAGCTTCGCGTCAGGCCCGTGGAAGTGGACATCCAGGACCTCCTGCCTGGACTCCTGCACTTCCTTGATATTCTTCTGCTGCCTCGCGAGCTTGTCCGAGACGTCCTGTTGGTCCTGGATCTGCTGCTTCGCGAGCTTGTCGGGAAAAGGTCCTGCTGGTCCTGGATGCTGTTCACGAGGCCATCGAGTTTTGCATCAAACTGCTTCAACTTCTGCTCCATGGTACTGACCCTGCTCTCAATGATGCGCGCACGCAGCCCATGAGAGCGTTGGCCTCCAGCTTGTCGCCCATGTTCTTCTCGTGCGCTTTGCTGCCGCAATTGGCAAGCAATCTCCAGATGTCGCACAGGAGCTGGACATCGGGGTGGCTCTTCTCCTTGTGGTCCTGCTGCTTGGCCGTCATGCTGAGAGTGGCGGGCCGTCCGTCTCTCTCTCTCTCTCTCGTCCGTAGCTTTGGCTTTGTTGTGCTTTGACGCCGGCTTGGAACTAGCACTCTAAGAGGCGCTATTCAAAGCCTCGCGCAGCTTAAGCACCACTGCTATGGCACCCCCCGGATGCCGAAGAAGAGCCGAGGCGGTGTCCAACGCTCGCACCTCACGTTGTACATGAGGAGGTAGTCGCACTCCTGCATCTTCCTTGGGCTGAAAGCCCTTGCTGATGGTGGCCTTACCAAACAGCTCACACGCCTCCGAAGCTGGGAGATGGATGTCTGCAGCTAGAATTTCATCGTGTGCCGGTGCGCCAGTGACCTGCTTGTCAGAGACGAGGTCCGAGCCACTGCAAGCAGAAACTAATGACGCTGCCGCATGCGCACCGTGGCAATGGACGAGACAGTCACCATGTCGCAACACATAGCCGCAACCCATGATGTGAGCCTGGACGGGAATGCTGCCAGAGCAAATCCAAGCAGCCACTTGAGCCCAAATGGCTACGGCCCCACCTCGTCCGAGTCTTCCTCCTACGCCTCCTTCTCCTGCCCTCCCTGCTGCAGGCATGCGTGCTGCTCGAAAGCTCTTCTTCTCTCTCTCTCTCTCTCTATCCCTCTCTTCCTCCCTCCCACCCTCCCATCCCAGCCTCCCTCTCGCTCTCTCTATCCCTCCCTCCCTCCCTCCAAACTTCCCATCTTCCTCCAACCTCGTCGTTCTCCTGCTCCAACCAGCTCCGGATTCATTATCTCCCTGCTCATCTCCCGCCCTCCCCGACCCCTCCAGACCCTCCATCCTCAATCATTCCCTGCCCCGCCCCCCCTTCCCCCTTTCCTCCTCCGTCGCCTTCGACGTGCTTTCTCCTGCACACCATTTCCTTTTCCCTGCTCCTCCGTCTTTCTCCTTCCCCACCCTTAACCTCACCGTCCCTCGCCATCATCATCCCTCCTCCTCCTTCTCCTCTGCCTCCTCCTCCTCCGCCTCCTGCCCCTCGCCTTCCACACTCCTCCTGCTCCCTCTCCCTGGACGACGACGACGACGACGACGACGACGACGACGACGACGACGACACGACGAGCACGACGACAACCACGACCGCGAAGGCGACGACCCCAGCGACCACGACCCGTCCAGCACTCTCTATCCGACGAGGCACGCGGCACCGCCGCGGCAGACGGGCCGCGCTCTGGAAACCGGCAGCGGCGGCGACGACCACGACCACGGCGGCTCAACGCGCCTTGCTGACCGCGACTGTGAAGACGACGACGACGACGACGACGACGACGACGACGACGACGACGATTAGGTCGGGCCTGTCCCCCTGCGGGGGGATTCTCGACGAAACATAAAACATACTCAAGACATATTCCCACATGATCAGCAAATACTCAAAAAATAGTCCCGGGACTATTTTTTGAATATTCTGGGATATTCCCCCTGTAGAGGGACAGGCCCGACTTAAGACTCGGGTCGGGCGAAAGGGGGGGATAGCAAAGGGGGGGGGTGAGAATCAACTCACGTGGCTGATTTCCCCGGCACCTCCCGGCGCCGGAGGCGGCTATATATGTATCGAAGAATGGGCCCCTCCGTGGGGCCGAAACCAACTGCATGCAGCAAATTTCGTAACCCCCCCTTTCCCAATCCCCGCCTTTCGCCCTGCCCGAAACTCGGGAGCGGCCAAGAGGGGGGTGTCCAAGAGGGGGGGGGTGCAAATCATGAGCGGCGGCATGTGCGCGGCCCAGCGGGGGGGCCAGGGACGCAATGAAACAAGAAGAGGCGCCCTGAAATCTGGGGAAATATCATGGCCCCCGCCACGATATCCACCCCCCCCTAGTCATCACCCCCCTCTTTTCCGCCCCCGGCGTCGACGACGACGACCACGGTGAAACACGACGACGACGCCGACGCCGAAACACGACGACGACGTCGGCGCCGAAACACGACGACGACGACGACGACTACGACGGCCAAGACGGCCGGGACGGCGACGACGACCACGGCGGCTGCGATCCCGACGGTGGGCCCGCGGCCACCGCCACGCGTGGCACGGGGGCGCGCGCGGCCTCGCCGGCCCTCGCCGGCCAGCGACGGGCGGGGCGCCGGCGGGCGGGGGCGCCGTGGCCCAGGGGAGGGCGAGGGCGAGGAGAGCGAGCGAGGAGGAGGAGGAGGGCGAGGGGGAGGAGGAGGGCGAGGGGGAGGAGGAGGGCGAGGGCGAGGAGATCGAGCGAGGAGAGCGAGCGAGGACGAGGGTGGCGAGGGCGAGGAGGAGGGCGAGGGCGAGGGCGGGGAGAGCGAGCGAGGAGGCGGGCGAGGGCGAGGAGGAGGGCCAAGAGGAGGAGGAGGGGGGCTGAGGAGCAGGAGGACTTGCAGGCACACAGAAAAATGCAGCCGAGGCGACGACAAGGCGGGAGAACGGCGGGCTGAGGAGGAGGAGGAGGAAGACTAAGAAAAATAACACTAAGAATAATAATAAGAATAGTAATAATAAGAAGAAGCATAATACGAAGAAGAACAATAAGAATAATACTAATACGAAAATTGATAATAAGAATAATAATAAGAAACATAAGAAGAATAATACTAATAAGGAGAAGAAGAATATAATAATAATAATAATAAGAAGAAGAAGAAGAAGAGCAGCTCCTGAACGGACCCACTGCCACCAGCTACCAACTACCAGCTACCATAAAAGTGCGGGCGACGACGAGCGTAAGCAGGAGGGGTAGCAAGGTGGAGGGGGAGGAAGAGCGGGAGGGAGGAGGTGGCGCAGCAGCAGCAGGAGGCTCAAGGGGAAGATACGCAGAAGGCTTGGTGAGGAGACTCGCGTTTGGTCCGCGTTGGCTTCGCCCTCAGGGCGCCATTGGAGATCATGCGATCCAAGCCTGGTGTACCACAAAACCTGCCCGGAGGAATAGGGGAGAGGAGGAGGGAGGAGGCCGAAGATGGATGACGACGGCGCAGATGATCAGGAATGGAGTCACGATGACCGGAGGACTGACATAGCTTGCGTCAAACCTGCGACGCAGATCCTCAGCCAGCCCCCTCCCGCGCAGCTGCCCTGAGTCCTGGAATGTTTCAGCGGTGCGCGGATTGAAAGCTATTGCTCTTCCCGAAACCTCGGTTTCGAGTGAAACCTCCCCAATGCCATGTTGCGCCGCCCAGGGTTCGCCCTCTGCCGCGATTCGCGGGGGGAACCTACTGTAGCTTCACCCCGCGCGCAACTGTAACAGCGCGCCGCCCTACTGTCACATCGGACGGGGCGCTACTGCAACATTGCCGCTGGGGCCACCCAAAAGAGGCCCCCTGAGTTCGCGGGACCGATTGAGCTCAACCAGCGGGGTACGCCGCGACGTTGCGGGCGCGTCTCGGGCGCCGCAGAGCGATTGGAGCAACGGCGCTTGCCGCGCGGGGGGAAGAGGTGGATCGCGCGAAGCCCGGGCGCCGTGCCCAAGAGACTCTTGACAGGGGCGATATTCAATTGGGGCTCGCAAGCGGGCGCGGCTTCGCAAGCGGGCAGCTTCCAAGTGAAACCGAAAAAATGGCACCACGAGCTCTGGCCCACCACCTCCTGAACCCTTCGCTACAACATGCAGCCGCCGAGGGAAGGGCCAACAGAACCGCCGGGAGTTCCACGGGCGCGACCCAATTCGAGACCGCTTTCCTATCTGGTGCCAGCAGGGCCCGACGCGAGCCTAGCGACGTCAGCTTTTGCCTTCTTCCGAAGCATTTCGTTCAAGGGCGAGGCGCACTCAGGCGCCGGGTCTCCTTCCACCCGAGTTCGGGCGAACTGGATCCAGGACGGGACCTCCGTCGCATGCGCGCCCCCTCCCCCCCCGCCATCGACGGCTGCGCGAGCCGCCGCTGCCCCCCCGTCGGCGGCGCAGTCTGCGCGGCCAGCAAAGGCGCCCTTTGGTGCCGCACCGCGCCCCTGCCGCTAATCTGGACGACGTGCATCTTGCGCTTCTGCCACTGCTCTGCTCCCACATGTCGCATATTGTTCTCCCCTGCGGCTCCTTCCACTCCAAGGCGCGTTCGCGGCGCGCGCGGCGCGAGAGTGACCGCGGCCCCTCTTCGACGCGAGACTCCTCATCCACGACGTCGCTGTGAGCGCTGACGCGGATAGGACCAATCTGCTCTACCTCACTCAGTGTAACACGAAACTCCTGCCGTCGCCGAAGAAGGCCGCGCCGGCGCGCCGGCAGCGCTGCTCGTCGCGGGTCGATGGCGCACTCCTCGCGCGGAACAAAAATCCACCGCAATGTCCGCCATCGCGGCTTCGACCTGAGCCCGCAATGGATCGGGCAGGGTTCTGGTAGTGAGATCCCTTAGGAGCTCCTCATATGCCTCGGGCCTTTCTTCCCCATCACAAGTATTGCGTCGCGTATGGGACCCCCGAACTATGCGACGAACAACTTGTCAAGACCCCAACCTGATGCGTTCCTGCCCCCGCTTGTGTGCATGAGTCCAAGACGGCAGATGAAACTGAATGCGGAATACACTATGGTCGCGCATGGCCTTCGCAGGAATAAATTGGAGCCTGCGTGATACTGGCGTCAGAGCCCCAGCACTCGCACGCGGTAGGTAGACTGCTCCGCAGCACATGTAGCCACTGACGGACTATAGGTCACCAGTTCCGTGCCATGATGATTGCCCACGATGCACAGGCACTGCGGCCATATAGTGCTGCCCGAGCAACTCACGGAGAAACCGTCCAGCCTGACGCTCGGTCCGCGCCCCCTTCCCGCGGAGATGGCCTCTGTGTCTATGGGTGCCGACGCTGGCTGCGGGGACCCACGCCGTCGTTCAAGCCCACGCAGAGTATCGGCACGCTGCGGCTCGGCGTCCTGTCAAGAATCTGGGCCACCCATTCTACTAGGCCGCGTACCGTGCGACCATGCTTCAGTCCCCCCGTTCGAGTCTTCACCCGCGGCGGGAAGTAAACTCTAACGACAGCGGGGTGCGATTGCGCAAAACAGACGCGCCCCGACAGGCCACCACCGTTAGAGCAAGTTCTGGAACGTCCACACGCCGAACATAATTAGGCTTGATATTCCTGCCGCGCGTCATCGGGATCCCCGCCGAGCAACTTGTATACTGGCCAGGCTTCCATCCACTTCTCCACTCGCCCCTGCTGAATCCGTAAGTCTGCCCGCATGTCTGTTCCCACTAGTGATACACAATCGAAACTCTCACCTGACCGATTGATATCATCCCGCCTATCCCCTCTCGATGCTGACAATGGATTGGCGTGTCCGCAGCGCCACACGTGTGGCAGCAGGGCTGGTGGTTGTCGTCCCCCCCTTCTCTCGCGAAAATGTCTCCACCTTGAGCTGGAGGCAGACCCCCGCGGCCACGATGGCCACCAGCAGCCTGTGGCGCACGAGAGACAACCCATGTGAAACAATAGGCATGAGTGCAGGTCTGTGCTAGCCCGCCCTCTTGGGAGCCCAACGGCGGCTCAGGGGGATGAGGGCGGGAAGGAAGAAGAGGAAACGTTTGGGAACGTGCCGGCCACGCCCGACGGGCCCTGCTACACCCAACGACGTGTGCACACCCGTGGACACGCACCGAAGCCCCCTACCCCGACATGCGGGCAAGCCGATCAAGGTCGAGCGAGGAGGACGGCGAGGGAAAATGGGAGGGAAAGAGACAGGGAGAGAGGAAACAAGGATGAGAGAGGGATGGAGATAGGCAGGAGAAGAGGGAGGGGTACGCACGACGATGACTATCATGAGAAGGACGAGGAGGAGGGGGAAGACCCAGACCCCCGACGTCGAGAGTTTTCCGCAACGTCAACCCCCAGAGGTCTCGACCCCTTCCCTAGGAGTGTTTGTTCGTCCCGTTTTTGTTTGCGTGGTTTTGCTCCTGTTATTAATGTGAAATATACATTTACATCTACCTGTAAGACCACCCTTCGGGTGATAAGGAGGTTGTGGGGGGGAGACAGGGGGGAACTAACATCTGACTCAATCGATCTCACGATCGATCTCACTCAACGGAAAACCACGTGACACCACGGGACACTTGTCGATCTCACTATCGATCTCACTCAGCGGGACATCGCGGGACACCACGGGCCACCACTGGACACCACGGGACACCGCGGAACACCTCTCGATCTCACTATCGGTATCACTATCGATCGCAAAATCAAGCTCACTCAACGGGACACCATAGGACACCACGGGACACCTCGGGACACCACATCGAACTCACTTTCGATCTCACCGTCGTTCTCACTTAACGGGACAGCAGTGGACAGCACGGGACACCACGGAACACCTGTCGATCTCAGTATCGATATCACTATCGATGCCACTTTTTGGGACACCACAGGACACCACGGGACACTTCGGGCACCACATCGATCTCAGTATCGGTCTCACTATCGATCTCACTATCGATCTCACTCAACGGAACACCACGGGACACCTCTCGATTTCAATATCGATCTCACTGTCGATCTCGCTTTTTGGGACACCACGGGACACCTCGGGGCACCACATCTATCTCAGTATCGATCCCAGTATCGATCTCAGTACCGATCTCAGTATCGATCTCAGTATCGATCTCACAATCGATCTCACTCAACGGGACACCACGGACAATGGCGGGACACCGCGGGCCACCAGCCGCCGAAGGAGAAACATTTGGTCCGTCCGGGGTCCAGGCACAGGATAATTTCGGGACACCAGCGAAACACCAGCGGGACACCGCAAGCCACCGGCCGCCGGAGGAAAAACATTTGGTCCGGCCGCGGCCCAGCCAAAGGAGGATGTCCTCTCGCCCGCCCAAGCAGCTTCCCCTCGCCCGCGCGAGCGAACCCGAAACCGGAATCGATTCCCCGGTAGGGGTGGTCTCCGTTTCACGTCGGACTCACCCCCAACCTCCGATACATATATATATATATGTATATGAAAATCTCTCTCTATATATATATATATATATTTATGTCTATATATATATGTACAAATATTATATATGTGATAGTATATAATATGCTTTCTGATTGTCCAACGGCCTGGAAGGGCCTCCAGAGGCCGAGGATGGCGAAAAACCTCCTGGCGCGACCTTGTTCACCACGCGAGAGGGCTTTGGGGGGGAAGGGCCGAGGAGGATGAGGAGGAGGAGGAGAAGGAATTGAGGAGGAAGGGGGGGAGGAGGAAGAGGAGGAGGGGGGGGGGTGGAGGAAGAGGAGGAAGAGGAGGAAGAGGAGGAGGAGGAGGAGGAGGAGGAGGGATTGAGGCAGGCGACCGCGCTTGGGAGGCAGGGGTGGCACCGCGTCGGGCGCGCACCGGCGGCCCCCCGCCGGCGCGCCCTCGGCGGGCCCCTCCCCCGCACTCAGCCCGCGCACAGCCGGCAGCACGTGCCGCCGCCGCCCATGGCCACGACCGGGTGCAGCGGCGCGTCTCGGGGGAGGAGGGGCTGACATGTCTCGGACGTCCATTCCCTGTGTTTTTTTGTCGGTTTCGTGCGTGGATTTTCGCCAACTGATCAGGGATGCTCCTCGATGGTCCTCGCCGAAGGAAAATGCACACGCCCGAGCGATACCAAGGGGGGGGGGCCCAGACCAGGACGAAGCCAGGACGAGGATGATGGGGCAAGGGAGGAATATAATCGACGGGGTGCGAGTGGTGCAGGACGGAAGTGGCCCCGCAGTGGATTGCCTGCCGAGTTGTACGCTGGTCGCATCAGGCCGTCGATGGGGGAGGAGGACGAGGAGAAGGGGAGTCAGATAGGATCTTCTGGGAGGTCTTCGTCCGAACGGCTGCGAGTACGCCATATTACATTCTGGCGGATCAGGCCGAGGCCAAGCTAGGATTAAGCGGGACTCAACTGGATGGCATGGGCTTGTGCCAGATGAAATGCATGTTCCACCACGGATATACCGGCGCCGATGCTGAATCCAACCAGCCATTTAGGGCGTAGGTGGTCTAGGGATCCTCTTCCAAATCCCTTCTTACCCTTCGGGGAGGGGTTTGCCTCTCCCCCTGCCCCTTCCCCTTGGACCTGGACGGGAGGTTCCGCGGGTAGTCGGAGCGTCCAAAACGGCCTCGGCGAGGAAGCCACACTCATTGGTATTACTCAAAGGTTTTGGACCCATTTGGCCTCCTGGAGCGGGGGGCCCTCATAAAGGAAAACCCCCTTCTTTGACGATCTCCTTTGAGATGGCGCCAAGAGCGCTTCCAAGGCTCCCAAGGGTGCCCCAAGAGGGCTCCAAGAGGTGGCCAGGAGGCCCCAAGAGGCCCCCAAGAGGCCCCCAGGATTCCCACAAGAGGCTCCCAAGAGACCCCCAAGAGGCCCCAATGGGCCCCCCACAGGCACCCAAGACGCTGCAAGAGGCCTTGGCGAGAATGCCAAAATCATTGATGTTACTAAATGGTTGTGGCCACATTTTGGCCTCTGGGGGGCACTAATTATATAAGATGATTCCAAGAGCGCCTGGGAGAGCCCAAGATGACCTTCAAGATGGCTCAAGGTATCCCAAGATGCCTCAAGATGGCTCCCACGAGGCTCCCAGAGGCCGCAAGACCGCTCCAAGACGGCTCCAAGTAGCCAAAGAGCTCCCCCAGGAGGCCCCGATGAGGCCCAAATCCTTTCAAATATTGGGAAGTCAATGTGTCTGGCTTTCTCGCTTTTTCGCTTCCGATAGCCATCCGAGGCCTTAGATGGCTCCAAGATGGCCCAAGAGGGCTCCAAGAGAGGCTCAAGAGAGCCCCAAGACGGCCCCAAGAGCGCCCAAGAGCGCTCCAAGAGCGCCCCAAGAGCGCCCCAAGAGGCGACCTTTCGGGATCCCGAGGGGCAAAGTCAATTCATGCTCCCCTCTTGTTTGATCACTGTCCTCCAAAATGGCCCCAAGAGCGCTTCCGATGCCCCTAATGGGGCTTCAAGATGGCCCCAAGATGAGCCCAGGAGGCCCCAACAGGCGCCCAGGAGGCCTCCAAGAGGCCTCCAAGAGACCCCCAAGAGGCCCCAAGAAGCTGTCCGAAGCACCCAAGACGCTCTAAGTAAGAGGCGTCCGGGACCGCCAAGAGGCCCCCACGACGCTCCAAGAGGCCTCCAGTGGAGGACCATTCCTCTGAGTGCTGCCCACTTCCCTGATCGAGATTATTCCTCTGGGCATCGTTTCTGGAAAGCTGGTGGGGGTACTTTTTTTTTACAGCCGCGGGCGGAAGCGCCAGCGGCGGCGAGTAACGGTCGGGCTGCGGCCGAAACTAATTGGCCGGACGCGCGCGCGGGCCGCGGCCGGCGCCGGGGCGGCGGGTGCAAGGGTGCAACCCAGGGTGTCTGACGCCCAGGGACCTGCACCCAGGGAGTCTGTAACTACGCTGCCAAAATGGCGCGATGCAAATAACCCCAAGGTGTCTGAGGCAAAGCTGGTGGGGTTACGCGAAACGTCTAGAATTTAACCGCCCATGAATTGCATCATCACAGAGGGGGAGATAGAAAGAGACAAACAAACAAAGACAGAAAGAGAGAGAGAGAGAGAGAAAAATAAGACAAAAACCAAGAAATATAGACAAACAAACAACAACGAACAAGAGGGAAAAGGAGAGAGACTGAGACGACCTGCGAAGGATGAGGGAGAGGAGGGAGGAACGGGGAAGTGAGAGAGGGAGGTAGGGGAGGGAAGGAAGGTGGGAGGAGAAAGGAAGGACGGGAGGGAGGGAGGGAGGAGGGGAGGAGGGGGGGAGGAAGGGGAGGGAGGACGCGGAGGAGGGACTCCCGCGCTGGAGGCTGGAAGGAGTAAGGGGGGAGAGAGGAAGGAGGGTGCCCAGGGGGTGCAGCGCAGGGAAGGGAGGCATCCCCGGAGAAGGAACAGAGGAAGAGGGAGGAAGGGGAGGGGGGCGAGGAGAGAGAAGAGAGGAGGAGCGGAGGAGGGGGAGAAAGGAGGGGGAGTGCGAGGAGGATGAGGAGGAGGAGGAGGGGAGGAGGAGGGGGAAGGAGGAGGGGAGCAGGAGGTGGAGGGGGGCGAGGAGGAGGGGGGGGAGGGGAAGAGGGGAGGGGAGGGAGAGGCCCAGAGACTCTCTCCTTGCAGCCTGGGGGCCGTCCCTGACAGGAGACAGGGGCGGCAGCGATGCTGTTGCGCGGGCGGACCAGCTCTGGGCAACGGCGTGCTCCGAGAGAGAGCAGGGCCTCCTCCTCCTCCTCCTCCTCCTCCTCCTCCTCCTCCTCCACATAGTCCTTCTCCTCCTCCTCATCCTCCTCCTCTTCCCCCCTCCTCCTCCTCCTCCTCCTCCTCCTCCTCCTCCCTCTCCTCCTCCTCCTCCTCTCTCCTCTCCTCCTCTCCTCCTCCTCCTCTTCCTCCAATTCCTCGTCCTCCTACTCCTCCCCCCCTTTTCCTCTTTCTCCTCCTCCTCCTCCTCCCTCCATACCTCCATACCTCCCTCCCTCCTTCCATCCTCCTGAACCCTGGGGCCACACGAGCAAGTCAAGACTTAACAATTTAACTCAAAGGACGCCCTCATCCCTCCTGCTGCCACCTTGTTGTTGTGCCCACTGCGGTCGAGGATCGAGGATTTGGGTCCCTCCTCCTTCCCCCCTCCTCCCCCATTGTCCCAATGGCCTCCAACTTGTAAAGGCCCCAGACACGGGATGCCAGCAGCATGCTAGGTCCCATGGACTCCCCCAGGCCCAGCACTTGGGCAAGGAAGGATCCTTTCTGTCCATGCTTTCCTCCGTCCAATATCATTCCTAGTCCTCCACCTCCTCTTTCTCTTGATCCGCTTCCCGGTCCCCCTCTCTCTTCTTGCGCCCCCTCTTTACCCCCACTCTCTCTGCTTCCTCCTCCACGTCTTTCTTTCCCAAGTCTTCAACCTCCATCTCTTCTTCCTTTCATGCTCCTCCCCGTCCCCCTTCTCTTCCTCCGCCTCCTTCTTCTGTTCCCTCCTCGTGTTTTGTTTGCCCAATTTTGTACACCAATCCAGCTGTGGGCCGGTGAAAAAAAGTCTCCTCCCACGAGCGGGATGTCCTCGAAGACGGTTTCGAAGGGGCCGTCGTTGACGGCGAACGCGAAACTGCCCAGGCTGCCGTCCAGGCCTTCCAGAGGCATCAGGTCTGCTCGTCGTCATTCTTTCGCTCCTCATCTCAACCCTCTCGCCATCCACACTTTCAGATGAACACCGAGCATTCTTCTTTACAATACTACGTAACCAGGCAGAGATCCGCATACCATCTATTGACCTTGCACGATCGCGGCTAGGCCGATTGGTCCGTATAGATATTTGCGTGGATCTCCTGAATATCCCAATGTATGCAGACGTGCACTCCACTCGAGTCTTATGAGTATTGCCCGTGAATGCCGATGCGCGATCCAGTGGAAGGCCTATGGAGCCCATGGGGTCCAATGGAATCGTGCAAGTACTTCCATGGAGCCATACGGAGTCCAATGGAACTGGAGTCCTGCGAAGACTCCATGGAATCAAACGGAGTCCAATGGAGCCCAATGTCGTGCAATTATTATTCCATTGTGACCATATGCATTCCACTGGAGTGCAATTATTTGCAATGGCGATTCCAATAGAGTGCCGCAAATGGAGCTCTAGAGTCTAATGGAGCCCTTCTGAGTCCAATGAATTGCATAGGATCCGATGGGGTCCAATGGAACTTAGTGGTTCCAGCGGAGTCATATGGAGACACATGGAGCCCTTTGGATTATCATGTACTTCTACAAGCCAAATGAAATCATTTGTAGTCTAACAGTGTCCACGGAGTCCGATGGGTATCCCAATCGGGTCAAAGAGTCCTGTGGAGTCCAATGGAGTCCTGTGGATATTCCAATCGGGTCCTATGGAGTCCTATGAAGTGCATGGAACCCTATGGAATCGGAGTGAGTCCTAGGGGTGATCCGATGGAGTCCTGTGGAGGCCAGTGGAATCTCTCAGGGAATCCGCAGCTGGAGGCCGCGATGGCAAACATAGAAACACCCGAACGCGATGCGCAAGGGCGCGAGTGTGTGTGTGTATGTGTGTGTGCGTAGGGTGGTGCGTGCATGCGTACGTCCGCATGCATATACGGGTGCGCGCGCGTGTGTGTGTGTGTGTGTACGTACGTGCATGAACATGTTCGTGTGCGCGTGTGCGTGCGTGTGCCCGCACGTGTTAGCGATTGGGCGTGTGGACTGTGCCGAAAAAAACCGCCCGCGCATGCTCGTGCCCGCGTCCTGCGCCGCGCGCGCGCCGCTGTGCGCGAGCTCCCACGTCGCCACCCTCTGCGACGAGCACGACGTCAACAGCCACGATCCTCGACGGCGCCATCGACGTGGCATGGGGGGCCCGAGTCCCGAGGCACACGGGCCCCGGACCCTGGGGGGGGGGAAGATCGGCGGCGAGCGAGGGTCGGAGGAGGAACGGGAGGAGGAGGAGGAGGAGGAGGAGGAGGAGGAGGAGGAGGAGGAGGAGGAGGAGGAGGAGGGGGAGGAGGAGGACGAGCAGGAGGAGGAGGACGAGCAGTTTTTCTGACAGCCCCGGTGGCCCGCGGAGGGCCCCGCTCTTCCCGCGGGGCCCGCTTCCCCCGAGGCGATCGGCATCGGCGGCGTCGTCGACGCCGGCTGGAAGACGTCGTCCTGCTCCTCTTCCGCGTCCTCCTCCTCGCTGTGCTGGCGGGTCGACGGCGGCTGCGAAACGGTTTGCGCCATACAGGTTGCGCCGCCGACCGCCGCACAGAACACTGCCTGCCGACGGGAGCGACTTGGCGGCGAGCGAGGGGGGAAGTGGGACGGAGAAGGTCATCTCAGAAGGCGGCGGGTCTTCTCAGAAGGCAGCGGGACTTCTCAGAAGGCCTCCGGCCTTCTGAGTGTTCTTTGTTGTCTCTGGGGAAGGCTGAAGAAACTGTTCAGAAAACAAAAGAACTGAGCCTCCTGAGAAGGCCCGTCCCTTCGCACTTCCCCCCTGGGCTCGCCGCCGAGTGACGGGTCAGCCAGCCAGTTTGGGCAGTGCCCCTGAAAAAACAAAAATCTGATCAGGCTGCGTCAGAGACAAGACAGGCATCATCATCACCACGCACGCTCTCCACCAACCAAAAATCTGGCACCGGCACGTGCCTCGAACAAAGCGGCGCCCTCGCGCTCGGGGCAAACGCGCGTGTGAGATGTGTGGCCCTTCCCCCCGAAGGGGAAGTTCGAGAGGGGAAGGGAGAGAGGGGAACGCGTTCCCACGCGTGCCCCTCTCGTTCGAGAGGGGAAGTGGATGCCTCCTGTGGCCCCTGTGCGTTCGAGAGGGGCAGTGAGAGGGGAAAGCACGAGCTCCCACCTCTCACCGCCGCGCCTCCTGGGCCCTCGCAGCCTCCACGGCAGCCCCCCCCCGCCCGTGGTCTCCGAGCGGCCCGAGAGGCCCTCGGAGATGGCCCAAAAGATGGGCTCCAGCCCGCCAGGGCGGCCTCCAGAGCAGTCCAAGGTGGCACTACAGTCAAAAGCCCTAATAAGGACGCGCGGTAAGGACGCAAGACCCTTGGAAGCCGAAGTTGGGATTTTTGGGGCGGCGGACGACGAAAACCCCAAGGACGCAAGAGCGAGGAAGAGCAAGGACGCAAGGGTACCCTGAGCAAAGTCGCGCGTCCTTATTAGGGTTTTTGACTGTATGGCGGCCGAGAGGCCGCGAAGACGCCCAAAAAAGAGGTCCCGCAAGACGGACCAAAACAGGCCGAGGTCAGCAAGTGTGCATCAGTGTTGCACGACGTTCGTGCCCCCGCCCGTTCGAGGCAAAAAGCCCGAGACGGCCCGAGAAGCTCCCCCCAAGACTGGCCCAACACGGCCGACGAGGACTCCGAGAGGGCCTGGCGCGACGACCCCAAGAGCATCCCCAGGCTGCCCAAGAGGCCTCCCAGGACGGCAAACAAAAAGGGCTCCCGAGAGGACTCCGCGAGCGGCAAGAGGAGGCCCAGCAGGCGGAGCTCGTGGGGGGGCCCGAGGCCCATTGCACACAAGATGGCCCTCAGGACGACCAACATCCCCTCCTCCCAGGGAGCCGTCAGAGGGCCCCACGAAAAGACAGGCGCCACGAACCGACTCCCAAGCGACCGCCCCGAATGCCTCAAAGAGGAGCTCGCGGAGCCCCGCAACAAACGCGGAGAGGAGGAGGAGGACAAACCAGCAAAAACCACACGCAGGCAGCATGACAGGAGGAGCGCCAAACAACACATACGATACCGGAAGCCGCACAGATCCTCTGCTGGGATTCGGCGACATGGCGAAGCCTCTCGAGTATACAACTTCCCTCGCCGACGCCGCGCGGTATTCTTACGGCTACGCCCAACCTCTGAAACGCGCCCAGGCGGGTCAAAGGCATGACCAAATTCTTTGGTGGGAGGTCATCGCGGGTGATGTTACGCGTATGGCAGCACTCGGGCTCCCTCTTGGGGCCCTCTCGGAGCCCTCTCAGGTCGTTCCTGGGGCTTCCTTGGGCCTCCCCCGGGAGTCTTGTGTGTTTTTTTTGCCTGGCTTGCCTGGAGTACCTTTGCCCCAGGAAAAAAATGGGAAAGCTCAATGGGAAAAATGAGGAAGTAGGGGGAGCCCGAGCAGACAAGCCAGGCCAACAAAAATCACGAGACTCCCGGGGGAGGCCCACGGAAACCCCAGGAACGACCCGAGAGGGGCCCCGAGAGGGTCCCAAGAGGGAACCCGAGGGCGGGGATCCATGCGCGGCAGGCCCCAGGCTGGCCCTAGCACGGCCCACAGAGGCCACGCGAGGACCCCACGGCGGCCAAAGATGGTCCAAGATGGGCCCAAGGAGACCTTCAGTGCTGAAGGCCTGCCGAATCCAGGAACGCTGAGTTAGGAAAGAGGCCCATGCGAGGCGGGGATTGATCCACATCCACCGCCTGGGAACCGACGTTCTGGCGCCCCAGCGGGCGGCGGATGTGGATATATGGTGGCCCCCGGGGGCCCGAATATATCCATATCCACCGCCTGCCGAGGTCCCTGAAAATTGACCCTCCAGGCGGTGGTCATGTAAAACATCCTGCCTCGGAACCCATTCCTGCCGCCCAGAAGCGCTTTGGATCACGAAGAGGGCTAGCAGAACAGCCACGGGAGGACCCAAGGCACATCGAGCCTCCTTCCGAAACAACACCGTTCCTTATCTCAGCGTCTTGGCTGCAAGGCCAACATTAGAGTTAGGTCGGGCCTGTCCCCCTGCAGGGGAATGTGGGGCGGAACACTTTAAAACATACGCAACAAGTAATCCGATACTGCTGAACAATTGTCAACACATTCTCCACAGACTATTTTTTTTAGCTATGTTGAAGATTCCCCCTGTAGAGGGACAGGCCCGACTTAACCGTTAGGGGAACATGTGGAGCTCCGCGCGAACTTCCTGGATCGGCGCACGACCCCCTTCCCTGGCGCGCGGTGCACGCCAGGGGCGGCGCTGGCGGCGCCGCCAGGAGGGCCCAGCGCCGATACAGGCACTCCGCGCTGAAATCACACGTGACGGTTGTTTTGTCTCCAGGTGAACGGTCGTTCCAAAGTCGGGAGCGGCCAAGAGGGGGGTGTCCAAGAGGGGGGGGTGCGAATCATGGCCGGCGGCATGTGCGCGGCCCAGCGGGGGGGCCAGGGACGTAATGAAATGAGAAGATGCGCCACGAAATCTGGGGAAATATCACGGCCCACGTCATGAGATCCACCCCCCCCTAGTCATCACCCCCCTCTTTGCCGCCCCCGACAAAGGGGGAGGGGGGGGGGGGTTCGGAAAGGAGGGTGGCAACGGTAACGGCGGCCGCGGCGCGCACCCGCCAGGGTGCGTCCGCGCCACCGGCGCACCAATCGCCTGTGCGCTTAGCGTTGCCCAGCCGGGGGGGGAGGGGGGGGGGTTGGCCCAGGTACCGAGCCTTACCCTGGGGAGGAACAACAAAAACGCTCACATACAGCAGGAGCCCGACCACAAGAAGCCTTCCACAAAAAAAATACCCCCTGAGACCCCAGGGCGTCCACGGATTTCTGGTGTGGGAGCGTCACGCCTTCCATAGCACGCCCCATGGAAGCCCAAGAAACCCAAGGGCACCCTGGAGGCAAGCAGGGTCTCTTGACATGGCCTCTACTCTAGGCTTATGTTCATGCCGCTTCTTGCGTTCCTCGAAATACTATTAGGTCTGGCATGTCCCACACAGGCGGATTCTGGGCGCAAGATGAAAGATAGTCTAACACATACGCACCCTGACACAGTCAAACGATAGCCAAACAATCGTCCCCAGACTATTTTTTAACTATTTTTGAATATTCCTCTTATAGAGGGACAGGCCCCGCGCCGGGACCCCGCCACCGCTCGGACGCACACCCCGTCTGCACTCGTCTCGGCTTCGCGCGTGCACTCTTGCTCGCGGGGTGGGAAAGACATGATCCTCCATGAATAGGGAGCCCCCAAAGGACGCACGCGCCCAGCGATGTACATGAACACAACCCCTCGATCCGCGGGACTGGCCGCGTGATACGAACATTTGCGCAATGCGCACTCTCGAAACCAACGTGGATTCATGTACGTGTACCCATCGGTCGGAAGAAGTAGGTAGAAACATGAGGTAGGAAGGCGTTGGAAATACATTGGGCTTCCGCCCGCCTCCTGAAGAGGAAGGAAGAGGGAAAACCACTCGACTCTTGAAGTAGGAAGGCGCTGAAAGTGGATTGGAATCTGGGAATCCAAAAACACCTACTTTCAACGACCGATGGGTACGTCCTTCTGTCGCTCCACCATGAGGGGGCACACGCCCGAGCGATACCCAGGGACGAGGCGGCCCACGCCCCCCCCCCCCCTGGGGGAAGACGGGGTCGGGAATCAGGGGCCCGGTCCGGCCTGCCCCTCCCGACGACGACGACGACGACGACGACGACGACGACGACTACGACGACGACGTACACGACGTACACGACGACGACGACGACGACGACGACGACGACGACGAGGACGACGTACACGAAGACGACGAACACGACGAACACGACGACGACGAACCACCCCACACTCCACAGGGGGAGGGCGGGAGGGGGGGGGGGGGCATCGGCACCGCGAGGGGGGTGGGCGGGGGGAGGGGGAGGCACAGTCCGCGAGCGGCCCATGCCCGCGCAGCTCCCGACACCGGCACGGCGCTGCTCCCTCCAGCAAGCCCAGAACGCAGTCGCCAGGGATGATGCCTTTATCGCCGCGTCGCTTCCGATGGTCCGGAGGGGCCTCGAGATGGCTCCAAGATCGCCCGAGGTAGCTCTCCAAGTGGGCTGGGGAGCTCCAGAGGGGGGGGTTCTTCGGTGGGGGCCTGGGGAAGCGAAGGCGAGGGCCGCGGCCCCAGAGAACCCGACCGACCGCTTCCCCGGGGGAGAGGGGGGGGAGGGTCCGCCCGGCTTCCGTCCTGGATGGTCCTGGAGCGCGAGAGCGGACCCCGGAGGCCGTCGAGGAACAGCGCAGCTGCGTGTCAGAATTAGTTTTGCGGAAATCTTGGAGAGAAGAAGGAAGAAGAGGGATAGGAGGTGGAGGAGAAGGAGGAGGAGGGGGCGGAGGAAGAGGAGAAGAAGAAGAAGGATGAGGAAGATGAGGAGGGGGAGGATGAGGAAGAGGAGGAGGAGGAGGAGGAGGAGGAGGAGGAGGATGAGGAGGAGAGGAGGAAGAGTAGGAGGAGGATGACGAAGAGCAGGGGGGAGGGGACGGCGACAAAAACTACATCTTTGCTTGTCAAGCAGCCGCTGCGCCATCGCAAGGACCCCAGTGAAGTCAGCGTCGGGAGAAGTACGTCCAGTCTAAGAAGCACTTGCAATGTGATGATCATGTGTAAAAGAAAAAACGGTGGCTTGTTAGGTTTCCAGTTGGAAGGGGGTTGGGGCTAAGCCCCAAGCAGTGAACCTGTGCACGCACCAGCTCTGAGCGTTCAAATCCGCCGACCCCGTTCCAGGCAGGGCATATCACACTCAAGAGCGGGCGAGCGCAACACAAAAGAAGCGCCGTCCCTGATTCCATGCAGCCTGCAAGAGAGGGTGGCGGCGACAGTGGACACAAATCCTTCCATCAAACAACAGGGGGAGGGTGTGATAATCACTATGTTGGTGCTTGACCACCGTGCTGTCGCCAGTCTTGTCTGACTTGCGCCCACACTTCCAAATTAAGAACCTGGTCCCTCCGCCTTTCTCCAACTACCCGAACGAAAAGTTGTTTCTACCGTCATCAACGACGGCGGCGACAAGGAAGGCGAGGACGACGACGAGGACGACGACGAGAACACCGACGACGACGAACACGAAGAAGACAATGACATTGACGAGGACGACGACGTCGACGGCGAGGAAGACAAGGTCCCCAACGTCGACGACGACGACGAGGAAGGCGAGGATGGCGAGGCCGACGACGAGGACCACGAAACACGCGAGGACGACGACGAGAACAGCGACGCCAAGGACGGCGAGGACGACAACGATGGCGCGGACGACGACGACGCGGCGACGGCGACGACAATGTTGACGACGACGACGACGGCGACGACGACGAACACGACGAGGACGAGGACGACGAGAAGGGCACGACGACGACCGGGACGACGGCGAGCACGACGCGCGCGGCCAGCGGCGCGGCCTCGCAGGTCCGCCTCGCAGTGCACGTAGTCCCCCTCGCTGACGACCCGGCGGCCGCGGCGGGGGGGCGAGCGCCCCCCCCCCTCTGCGGGGGAGGGGGGGAGGGAGCAGGGAGGGAGGGAGGGGGGAAGGGAGGGAGGAGAGGAGGGGGGGGGGACAAGCTAGGTGCGCTCGCGTCATATCTGACGTCCTACCCCTCCCTCCCATCCCTTACCATGGCGCTGATTTTCTCTATCCGCGGACGCGTGTCGTAGCGGACCTGTGGCTCCGCGCGCGCGTGCGTAGTGGGTGGTGGTGCACGTGCGTGCGTGCGTGCGTGTGTGCGTGGTGGTGGTGGTGGTGGTGGTGGTGGTGGTGGTGGTGGTGGTGGTGGTGGTGGTGGTGGTGGTGGTGGTGGTGTGTGGTGATGGTGGTGGTGGTGCTGGTGGTGGTGGTGGTGCTGGTGGTGGTGGTGTGGTACTGGTGCTGGTGCTGGTGGTGGTTGTGGTGGTGGTGGTGGTGGTGGTGGTGGCGGTGGTGGTGGTGGTGATGGTGGTGGTGGTGCTGGTGGTGGTGGTGGTGAGAACGCCATCCTGAACGACGGAGGCCAAACACCGATCCGAAAATGAGGCCCACGCTGCAGCGGGAGCACGATTCGGAACGAGTCGGGAGCAGAAATGAGGCCGGCGCCTGAACGAGAGCAGCATTTTGGGAAAAAATGACGCCGGCGCCTCAGCGAGAGTCGTTTCCCGGGATTTCCCGGGAATCCTGTGTAAAAAAACAGTACGCGGAGGGTGCGCGGCCATCACCCGGACGCCATCAGGGGAAGAGGGGAGTATTTTCATATTGTTGTGGAGGAGGGAGGAGAGAGGAGGGAGGAGAGGAGGGGGGGGAGGAGGAGGAGGAGGGAGGAGGGAGGGAGGAGGGGAGGGAGGGGAGGGAGGGAGGGAGGAGGAGGGAGCAGAAGGAGAAAGAGGGGGGAGGGAGGAAAAGGGAAGGGGGGGGAGGAGGAGGGAGGAGGGGAGGAGGGGAGGAGCAGGAGGAGGGAGGCGGAGGGAGGAGGAGATGTTCTGTGGGATTTCGAAGCTGCTTAAGCTGTGAGCCTGTTGGCAGAGGCCGCGGCACGCAACTGGTAGAGCGCCAGTCAGGCCAGAGGCCCTGCGCGGGCACCAAGAGCTCTGAGAGCAGCCCTAAGGAGCTTTGAGGCGGGGGGAGGCGGATGGTGGCAGGGAGGAGGAGGAGGAGGAGGGGCGGGGGAGGAAGGAGGAGGAGGATGAGGAGGGGAGAGAGAGGAGTAGGAGGAGGAGGAGGAGGAGGAGGAGGAGGGAGGAGGGAGGAGGCGAGGGAGGGAGAAGGAGGGGGGACGGAGGAGGGAGGAAGGAGGAGGAGGAGGATGAGGAGGAGGAGGAGGAGAACGGGTAGGAGCTGGGGGTTGCACGGACTGCGCCCAGTGGTGGTGGGCGAGGCCCTTTGTGAACATGTTCTGATTCGGTACTTCGACACTGGGCGGAAGGCGGTTGGGGAGAGGGGGTCTGGCTCTGGACCTGTGCTTAATGCGACTGTTTGCAACAGTGCGTCCTATGGGGGAGACATCACCTGATCAAAACAGGCGTCAAAAACAGCCAAGATACAAATCAAGGGGGGGAGGGATGGGTGCGAGGGCCTGCGCCGGTCGGCAAAACAAGAAGTCCGAGAACGATCACTTTCCTCGCCTTTTGCTGCTCTGTTTCGTCCCTCATCTTCCTTACTTGTTCTTTCTGCACTGTGACCGGCATCTCCTTAGGTATCTTGTGTACTCAAGCTCCGACCGACCGACGAGTAGGAGTAATAACGGAGAGAGAGATGGGCACAGGCGGAAGAGGAGGAGGGGGAGGTGGCTGCGTCGCTTGCGACCCTGAAACCAACAGCAACACGCAATGTGAGGAAGACCAGGCGGAAGAGGGTGATGATGATGATGAGGAGGAGGAGGAGAAGGACAGAGGAGAGGGGGGGAAGGAGGAGGTGGATGAAGGTAGGGGTAGAGGAGGAGAAGGAGAGGGAGGGGAAGAGGAGGAGGAGGGAAGGATGATAGGGGTGGGCAACTGCGGAGAAACATTGGGAGGAGTGGGGCCCCCTGATGGCCGTCCGCCGCCCTCCGCGGCCGCACGGGGATGATCAGGTCGCCGCCAGGGCGCGCCAGCCACGGCCCGTCGTCTCTGGACCTGTCTGCGGCGGGATCTCCTCCTCCTCCTCCTCCTCCTCCTCCCCCTCCTCCTCCTCCTCCTCCTCCTCCTCCTCCTCCTCCCTCCTCCTCCTCCTCCTCCTCCTCCTCCTCCTCCTCCTCCTCCTCCTCCTCCTCCTCCTCCTCCTCCTCCTCCTCCTCCTCTCCTCCTCCTCCTCCTCCTCCTCCTCCTCCTCCTCCTCCTCCTCCTCCTCCTCCTCCTCCTCCCCCTCCTCCTCCCCCTCCTCCTGCGAAGGGCGGTGGCGGAGGACGATGCCGACGCCGACGCCGACGCCGGTGGATGCGGGCTCCGCTCGAAGCCTGCCGTGGGAACAGGGGCCCGTCACCGCTGGACCTGGAGCGAGGAAGGGGATAAGAGGGGCAGGAGGGGCGGCGGTGGGGGGAGGCCCTCGGGCCGCGAAGGAAAATAGTAGCACGGGGCACAGCTGGTCTGTTTGACAGTCGCCCTCCAACCAAGGTGCGCCCTGGAGAGTGCTTGTTGTTCACTATCTCGGGTAGCGGCCGTTACCCACGGAGTGGGGGGGGTCAGAGGCTCCGGGTAACGGTAACGTTTATGGGCGGGGTGGGGCACGTCGGGGCGGGGGTGCGCTGCGAACGTCACAGTTTGCGCGCGAGCGTTAGCATGTGGGGCGGTGCTATTGGAGATCCAGCCTTCCCCTCCTTCCCCTCCCCTCCCCTCACGATCGTGACCGTTACCTAGGCGGGGGGCGGGGGGGCAGGGGGGGGGCGGGTGACGACCGTTACGCGCCAGAGGATACCCTGAGATCCAAAGTTGCCAAACATAGTTACAACATCGCTAGAAATCACGCTCGGACCCCCAGACCCCACCTCTCGGTGTCATCTGTCGAGCAGGATCGATATGTGAGGGCCCCAAGGCCCGAAATAGAGCGAAAACGCCCGGTGCGAAAAAAAATTGCAACGCCAGGATCCCAGGGTAAACAATCAACCCAAAATACCAGGGGACGTTCGGGCATGTCCCTCTATAGGCGAACAAATATAAATATCACAAGCATGCTTAAACATACAAATACAGATGCAGCAAACAAACATACCAGTACAACTGCAGCAAACATGCTCAAAAGTATGCAAAAAAACGTCCCCCGACTATTCCTTGACTATTCTTGAATATTCCCCCTAGTCCCGAAACGGTGCGGTGACAGACCGTGCGGTGACCTCGGGACCCCGATCCCCAAAACCGTGCGGTGAGCCCGAATCCTCACCGACTCACCGCACGGTGCGGTCGCCACCCCGTTTGGGGGCCCCCGAGTAGAAGGACAAGCCCGAATTCAGTCTCTTCCACGGGAGCGGGCGCCATGGCAAAGCGCGGCCTCCTCCGCATCCTCCTCTTCCTTCTCCTCCTCCTCCTCCTTCTCCACCTCCCGCTCTCCTCCTCCTCCTCCTCCTCCTCCTCCTCCTCCTCCTCCTCCTCCTCCTCCTCTCGATCCTGAACCCTCCTCCTCCTCCTCCTCCTTCTCTTCTCCTCCTCCTACTCCTATTCCTCCTCCTCCTTCCTCCTCCTCCTCCACCCGCTCCTCTCCTCCTCCTCCTCCTCCTCCTCCTTCCTCCTTCTCCTCCTCCTCCCCCTCCTTCCTCCTCTCCTCCCCTCCCCCTCCCCCTCCTCCTCCCCCTCCTCTCCGTCCTCCTCCTCCTCTCCCTCTCCTCCCTCCTCCTCCTCCTCCTCCTCCCCTCCTCCTCCTCCTCCTCCTCCCCTCTCCTCCTACTCCTACTAACTCCCCTCCCCCTCCTTCCTCCTCCTCCTCCTCCTCATCCTCCTCCTTCCCTCCTCTCCTCCTCCTCCTCGCTCCCTCCTCCTCCTCCTCCTCCCCTTTCTTCCTCCTCCTCCTCCTCCTCGTCTCCTCGTCCTCGTCCACCGTCCTCCTCTTCATCCTCTCTGCCTGTTCTTCTTCCTCCTCATCCTCCTCCTCCTCCTCCTCCTCCTCCTCCTCCTCCCCCTCCGTCCGAGTCGAGAAGAGGGGCTGGGCCTTGGAACGGACCTGAAGCACATGGACACTGGCTCGATAGTCGCTGGAGAGGGGGGAGAGGAACACGGAGGCTGGCGGGGGCAAAAAGAGGAGGATGAGGAAGAGGAGGAGGAGGAGGAGGAGGAGGAGGAGGAGGAGGAGGAGGAGGAGGAAAAGGAGAAAGGGGCAAAGGGGAGGGAGGGCGAGAAACATAAGCAGGAAGTCGGCGACGGCGCCCGCTCAAAAATCGGCCCGCGGACGTGCCCTGATGTGCGTCCTGACCAGACCTTCGAGGGGAGTCTGGCCGTGGCAGCGAAGAGCATCCGAGAGGCCTGCAAGGGGCAGCCATAAATGTCGAAACCTCGATGCTCGGCCCCTGGATCCTCGAACGACCGACGACGCCGACGACGACGACGTGACCACGACAACGACGAGACGACGCCGACGAAGCGACGACGACGACGACGACGACGAGACGACGAGACGACGACGACGACGACGACGACGACGACGACGACGACGACGACACGACGACGACGACGACGACGACGACGACGACGACGACGACGACGACGCCGACGAGCCGCTGGGGCCTGCTGCAGCGCCCCGTGCTGACAAGCCTCGAGGCGAAACCAAAACTGCACAGGCACACCTGCTCGAAAATCCGCACAAACCTGCCGGATCCGCGAACAGATTAGAAGCGCGGCCCATCCCCACCGGCGTGGCCTGGGGTTTTCTGGCCGTCTACCCCGCCCGGACGGGTGTCTGATGATGCATGTGTTTACATACCTATATATATATATATAGAAACATATAACATATACTCACACGCACATATACAAATATATGTGCAAAAATACATTCATACATACATGAAGACAGCAGAACCATTGAGCGCGCTCAAGTTCTAGCGCGTGCGTTGGGGGTCCGCAAACGACTACGGTCGCTGCAACAAAGAACAGGGGGTGGCGTAACCACTATAAGTGTCCAGGTTTTGATCATCACCATCATGGCCACCGATGTTATTCAAAACACCGTAATCCACATCACCACGACCAGCGCCATCAACATCGTCACCACCACCATCACCATCATCCTCAGCAACAACATCACCATCGTCAATATCATCGTCGTCATCAACATCCCCCTCGTTTTCATCACCACCACTATCATCGGCATCATTATCAACGCCATCATCATCAGTGGCAGCATCACTGTCAGAAGCATCAGCACCACGGTCCCGATCATAATCATCACCAACATCATCAGCATCTTCATCATCAACATCATCACGATCATCGTCATCACGATCAGCAGCATCACCACAATCACCATGACCACCGCCATCACCATCGCAACCAGGATCATCACGACAACCAGCTTGATCCGTATCATACGCATCACCATCGTCATCAACAGCACCAACACCAACACCATCGCCATCATCAGCACCAGCATCATCATCACCACCATCATCCTTTTCCCAACGACATGAGAGCCAATGTAAAAAAAAATCTGTTGGCGCATGCCAACTTGCAGAAGGCAGGGCTCGCCGCAGAGAGCTGTGACTCTCAAGAGCGCTGCTCGCTGCATGGTGCCTGCGACGGCGGTTACACCGCGAGGCCTGGCGGCATGCGGGGGCAACTTCCTCATGACATTCAGCTGCCACAAAGCATTCGGCCTCGTATCCGTCATAGCGTGGCTCAGGGTCGGCAGGCTGCCCTGGCAGCTGCTCGCCTCCCTCCCGAGCTGGGCGAGGCGCTGCAGGCAGGGGCGGCACACGCGTGGCTGGCAGGAGTCCACAACTGAAAAATCGGACCGGTGTCTCGTTCACTCGCTGATCGTTTCGGGCCAGTGGCCCACTTCGTCCTCGAGCCAGCCCGCTGGTGCCACCTTTTTGTGGTGAGTCGCTGCGTCCTCCTGTGTGAGAGGCCGCCCCTCCCAGCTGGGGGCGCCGACTGTGACCTTCATCTTCTGCGAATCGTAGCAGCCCTCTAAGCGCATGAAACTCACGGAGTTCTCCGAGTCGGCTTTGTCGATGTCGGGCTCCGCCTCCGCCTCCGCCTCTACTGGGCAGCGGGGTTGTCGATGTCGTTCTTCGCCGCACCGCCAATGTCGCACATCAGCAGGCCCTCTAAGGCCGCCAGCGCTAAGCTGGCTGCGGGGGAGCCGAACTCCTTCATCCTCTTCTTGCCCTCGGCCCCCTGCGTGCGAAGAGAATGGAGAAGTCCTTTGTACCCCTCGAGCTCCTCGGTGATATTTATCACCCTGTTGTGATTCGCCGGCACCCTGCATGTGTCTATCGAGACGGAGGAGGCGAGCCTGATCTTGCGTGCCGTCTGCAGCACGAGTTGGAGCGTCGCCTGGAGCAGCGCCAGTAGGTTCTTGCCCTTGCTGCTCCACGTATTGACCGGATGCTCGCCTCAGCGGACTCTCCTCCCACCAGCATCATCATCATCATCAGCATCATCATCATCACCATCATCATCATCACCACCACCACCACTACCACCATCATCATCATCACCACCACCACCACCATCATCATCAACATCATCATCATCGTCGTCGCCGTGACCATCAACGCCATCGTTACCATAATACTCGCCATCTTCGTCATCGTCACCCGAGCGCTCTCTCGCGCAACTTCACTTGCACAGCCGCCGGAGCCCCCAGGTGAGCCTCCTTGGCCGCGCGGGCCCTCGTGAAGGCGTCTCTCCCCCCGCACTCCTCGCCAGGCGGGGTAGACTTACGTCGGGCCTGTCACTCTACAGGGGGAATCTTCAAACACAGTCAACAAAGATGTCGGGGGACGATGTTTGACAATTCTGGGCTATTTGTAATAGATGGCTGTTTCGAGTTTCGCCCAAAATCCGCCTGTAGGGGGACATGCCCGACACAAGGGTAGACCTTTGAGACGAAAGGTGTTGTGGGAATTCCCATCCTGACTCAAGATGAATCCCCTGACCACTTCATGAGGCAGGAAGCTGTGTGAGCCAGGCGGAGGGAAGAGATGCGGAAGGACGAGAGAGGAAGGCACAACGGTGAAAAAGGGGGGCAGGAGAGCGATGCGGGAAGAGGAAGGGATGAGGAGAGAGGATATCTCGTGGCGTCCCTGGGGCGTTTCTGGGGTATCTGCAAAACTCAGAAATGGGCGGAGGAGAAGGATGAGAACGTTCAACGGGAGGCAGGAGAGAGGAATCAGTGGGAACGGACAGCGAGGGGCGGGAAATCCTGCTGGGGGGGGGGCGGGGTCGAACAGTGACAAAAGGGGATGTGTAGGACTCTTTTTTTGTTCGTCAAATGTGGGCTCATACCGCTGGAGGCCGAGTGAGGGAGGCGGAAGGCGGAAGGCGTGAACGAAAAATGAGCTGGAGGGAGGAGGGAAAGAGACCCCTCGCTCCCTCCCTCCCTGCTCCTCTCCTCTTCCTCCTCCTCCTTCTCCTCCTCCTCCTACTTGTACTCCTCCTCCTCCTCCTCCTCGCCTCCTCCTCCTCCTCCTCCTCCTCCTCCTCCTCCTCTTTTTCCTCCCAGGCCTACTCCTCCTTCTTCTCCTCCTCCTCCTCCTCCTCCTCCTCCTCTTCCTCCTCCTCCCTCCCTCCCTCCCTCCCTCCCCCCCTTCTTCCTCCTCCTCCTCTCCTCCTCCTCCTCCTCCTCCTCCTCTCGTCCCCTCCTCCTCCTCCTCCTCCTCCTCTCCTCCTCCTTCTCTGCTCCTTCTCATCCTCCTCCCTCCCTCCTGCCTCCATCCATCCTCCTCCTCGTACTCCCTCCTCCTCCTCTCGTACTCCTCCTCCTGCTCCTCCTCCTCCCTGCTCCTCCTCCTCCTCCTCCTCTCCTCCTCCTCCTCCTCCCCCTCCCCTCCCGCCTCCTCCTCCTCCTCCTCCTCCTCCTCCTCCTCCTCCTCCTCCTCCCTCCTCCTCCTCCTCCTCCTCCTCCTCCTTTTTCCTCCTCCTCCTCCCCCTCCTCCTCCTCATCCTTCTCCTCCTCCTCCTCCTCCTCCTCCTCCTCCTCCTCCTCCTCCTCCTCCTTCTCCTTCTCCTTCACCGCCGCCCCCTCCTCCTCCCCCTCCTATTCCTATTCCTCCTCGGGGTTGACGGGGGACGGGGAAGGGGATGAGGGAAGGGGGATCAGGGAGGAGGAAGGGATACGGAGCGAGGATGTAAGACGAAGCCAGGACGAGGACAACTTCGGGGGGTGGATAAACCGAGCAGCTCTGAGCTCTGGCGGCTCTGTAAAATGTCTCGGGCGCCGCGGCCTGCTCAGAGCGTTCCGGAACGCTCGGAGAGCGTTCCCGAACGCGCTGAAACGGAACTACCCTCGTCCTAGCTTCGTCCGAGGGTGTCTTGTGGCAATCTCCAGGGGGCCGATTCGGGAGGTCTTCAAAACCCTCCTGGGGCCTGTTGCGGGCGTCTTGTGGGGCCTCGTGGGACCTCTTGGGGGCCTCTTGGGGACCTCTGGGGGACCTCTTGGGGGCTTTCGGGGGGCCTCTTGGAGGCCTACTGGGGTCTCTGGGGCGCTGCTTGGGCTTCTGGGGGCCCGCGGGAGCCCTCTGGCCGGCTCCCGGACGTCTTCGGCGCATCTGGGAAGCCTCTTTATGTTATGAAGTGTGGACGGGCGGGCGGGGCCGCGAGGCCATGGCCCGATAGGGGATTCGGATAGGTTCGATGGCGACATGCGAACCCCCACCCCCACCAACCATCAGGTCTCCTGCATCGATGGGAGGCGCGGGTAGGGTTTGGATTCGGCCACGGGCTCGATGAACTCTGAACCCTAAACCCGCCGCCCCTCGAGCTCCCTAAATCGTTGACCGGCGTGGGTAGGGTTCGGATTCCACCGCCGGTAGGTTCGACGATGCTGGGGATCCGCGCCGCACGCCCCAACCCAGACGCGCGGATCGAGCCAGGGGAGGCGCCCTGAGGCAACGACAGGGGGGCCAAGGCGCCGATCCAAGAGAACGGGGCGGACCTCTGACCGTGGCATGCGACGCCGCAAAGAAACGTAAGAATGACAACGGAGCCAGCGTGGACCCGAGGCAGTATTTGTTTGCACTATTGATGTGCAAGCTATGTGATTCAAACCATGTACATGGTGCACGCTACTGCGAGGGCATGCAGTAAGGAACCATTTGAATAAGGATATCAGGGTCTGGCAGCTGGTGGGACTCCAATCGAGGATTGGCCATGGATATCACCGCTGCTCTCATCAGAGAAAGAATCCTCCAGGATCTGAAGCCTTCTGGGCGCATAACTCAACGAACGCCCCCACCGCCCGTGCAGATGCGGGAAGGATAGGCGGTGCAGCATACACGGCGCAACAGGCGGCAACAAAATCCCTGAATGTGCAGCAGACGCGGTGCATAGAGGCCTCCATGGAGTCGGAGTAGATGGGGTCGGCGTTACATCGGCGCTGCATCGGAGATGTATCGGCGACGTCGACGTGAAGCACATCGGGCTCCACATCGAGCCGCACTGGCGATGCATCGGCGATGCGGCGCGATCCTCCGACCCCATCTTTTCCGTCCCCATCTCTTATGAAGGGGCCCTGGGACACACAAATAAATACACACAAATAACAGGATTCCTCATATGTTGTTATATTTTCTATGTTTTTGTCTTCCCCCCCACATCCCATATTTTCCTATATTTTCCTGGGAGTCGACGATTCATTGTGTCTGTGTGTTTGTTTCCCTCCTGATCTTAGAGCGCAAGAGGCGGCAACAAAGTGGCGACCGGTGGCAGCGTGGCGAGACCTCGCCGGACCCACTCGGCGCATGAGCCGGTAACGATGCGACCAACCCCGCAGGTCTCGGCCCACTCCCTGGGACCGGCTTGTCTCTGGTCGGGCGAAAAAACACACAGTGTGAAAAACACACACACACACACACACACACACTGTGTGGTGTGTGTTTTTTGTGTGGTTTCCCCCCCCCCCCACACACACTATGATTTTTGTTCCCACAGTGTGTGTGTGTGTGTTTTCTCCCACAAGTGTGGTTTTTTTCCCGTGTGTTTTGTCCCCCTACACAGGCGGATGATGGACGAAAACCACAGAATACCCCAAAGATGCCCCCAAATCTGCAAACCTTGTCAACCAAGTCGTCCCCAGACTATCTTTTCACTGACTTGGAAGATTCCTCCTGTAGGGGGACGGGCCCAGCGTAAGAGCTTGCCCTCCAGAGCAGCTCCGCTGCAGGGCCCGGGGCCCAGCGAGGGCCCCCCGAGGCTGGACGTGTGCAAGAGCACCTCCCCCCGCCGTGGCCTTCCCCCGACGCGAGGGGGCCAGAGGGTATCGGTATACTTCAGTCGGGCCTGTCCCCCTGCACGGGGGATATTATTCGAAAATAGTCAAGAAATAGCCTGGGGACGATTTTCTGACTATGTTTGGGCATTGTTTGGGCATCTCTGGGGTATTATTTTTTCTCCCCAAATCCTCATGTAGGGGGACATGCCCGACATAAGGGTATACCTCTTCCTCCTTTGAGCTGCCCGTATTCGGGCCGCCCGCGCACTCATCGTGGTGTGTGAACTCTCTCGCGGGCGGGTGTAGAATGGGAGGGAGCCTGCACGGGGGGGTGAGGAAGAGGACCCCGACGGGGCCCTTCAGGTCCCCTGCGGGCTCCAAAATCGGCCCCAAATGGCCCCTATTGGGGCCCTATTCTTCCCCCCCCCATGTCGGAGCAGGGACCGACGGCCCCTGCAGTCTTACGGGCCTAGTTCGAAGTCTTTTAAGAACCCGAGCAATGTTCCTAGACCAAAAACACTGATCCTAGAACACAAACGCGATGTGTTAAAACAAGACGGCGTTGGTCAGAGTTGTTCTAAGAACCTTTCGTGCAGACCACAAGAAGAAGTTATTGGAACACTCCGTGTTGGGCCTGCAGGCGAGCCACGACGCTCCGCCACTGCTTGACATACAGTCGAGGCGTTGACCTAAGGAACCCTAAATAAGGAACGAGGCCCCTATTTTCCATAAGTTGAACTTCGATTCCGCATCGAAAACCTGAGGAAAATCCAAGGCAAGCTGCGAAACAATCAAGGAACACGGAGCCCCTTCCCAAACGAAAAGGGTTCCTTCTTCAGGGCCCCGACTGTATGTGTCCCACCCCCCACTACCACCCGCCCGGCACTCCACGCCTCCGGCCCTCCCCCCCGGCGTGCCTCCCCGCGCCCCTCCTCCGCGGCGCTCCCCGCCCAGCCTCCCCCCCCCGACGCTCCTCCTCCTGCGCTGCTCCTCCGGCTCCTCCCCCCGGCCTTCCCCCCCCCCGCCCCCCCCGGCGTGCCTCCTCCTCGGCCGCCATCTTCACTTCCTCCTCTCGTCGGTGGGGCGCCCTGGCCGCGCGCGGCCTGCTAAAATCTCGACCGCGCTGGCGCTCGCCCTCCCTGGCTGTGCCTACCGGGCCACCGAAGCCCAGCCCGACGTCTCAAAATTTCGGGTTGGGCCTCCTCCTCCTCCTCCTCTTCCTCCTCCACCTCCTCCTCCTACTCCGCCTCCTCCTCCTCGTCCTCCTGCTCCTGCTCCTCCGCCTCCTCCTCCTCCTCCTCGGGCGTACGGTCTCCGTCTGTGTTTTTAGACAACAGAAAATCCACGGACGAGCGAAGCCGTTCCGCAAACGCACCCGAGGAAGGAATCGAACAGTGCGGGGCTGTTCAGTTCCCTCCCAGGGCCGTTCAGTGAACGCCAACTGTCGGTCGGGGTCGGGGTGGCTTTTCCTCCCCCTGAGCTTTCCCCATGTTCCATGATGCTCCCCCCCCACCCCCGGGGCATGCAGGGCCACGCGGGGCCTTCGGGCTGGGCTGGGTCAACTATAGTGCGGTGGGCAGGACCCCGAGAGGGCCCTCCAGGGCCCCCTGGGGTAACCAGTTCGGTGGGCACTGCTCCGCTGCTGACTCCTCGTCGGGCGCCTCCAGGGCCGCGAGTGGTTGGCGCCGTGGATGCCAAACTGCAGCTGCGGCCGGTGCGGGCACTGCCGCACGATCTGCAGCGTCCAGAGGTAGAGCCCTCGCTGCCGCCGGGGGGGGGCGCCGGCAGCGGGCCGATCGAGGGGGGCAGGGCGAGGGCTGGGGCCCGGAAAGGGACGAGCCCGCGGGAGGACAAATCGGTCCTGGACCGATCGAGCGATAGATCGAGAAGGATCGATCGATCGGGGGGGAGGAGGAGAAGGAGGAGGAGGAGGAGGAGGAGGA